TGTATATATGTGTACATATATACATATATATGTACATATAAATATATGTGTATATGTGTGTGTGTGTGTATACATATATATGTATATTAGATGAATAGAAAATGAGTCATACATTTTTAGACTTTCAGTTGAAGACATATATGAGAAACAGCTGTAAATGAATCAAGAATCCATGAAGTCATTCCTTTTGTTGTCATTTATGTATCAGTTATTACCCCGTCCTCCTCTCTCTCTCTCTGTTTCTCTCTTTCTCTTTCTCTCACCCCGTCTCACCTTACTCCCATCCATCCGTTCTTACCAGAATACCTTAAGAAAAGGCCAAGGCAAACACACCCCAAAGTTAAAGAGGGTCAACCTTGTTAAAGCTGAGCCTGTGGTTGAACATGGTGTAAAGTTTGACGAGGGACCAGAGAGCGGACACCTGCGTTCCTTCTCTGACAGCAGAGCCAGAGGGTGAACCTCGGCCAGACCACGGCGGACCACCGCTCACTCTGGCTCCACATTCTTTTAGTTACACTTTGTCATTGAAGCAGCTTCACATGGGACGTGTCTGCTGTGTGTGTGTGTGTGTGTGCGTGTGTGAATTCAACTCCTCTGGTGCTGCCTGCTCCGTCTCCCTTGACGTGGAACACTCCAGCTGCTTGTGACAGCTGTGTGAGAAAAGAAAGAAAAAAACAAATGGAGGAGAGAAAGAAGTCGAAGAAGGAAAAGGAAAAAGGCAGATGAGAAGCTGGAGACTCTGACAGAGATTAGAGATGAAGGGAATGTGAGAGCTGTGTGTGTGTGTGTGTGTGTGTGCGGCAGGGAAGGGTTCAAGAATGTGTATTAATGTGTGTGTGAGGCTGCAGCTGTGTGTGTATCACAGGGCTGTAAACTCTCGGGGTCTTTGACCGTGCTGGATGATTGTGGTTTCACCCAGTAACAGTACCTGGTGAGACTGGACGACAGGTTTACAGATGATGAGTTCTTTTATGTTTGTCAGAAGAGATATGGACTGTACTGTTGTTGTGGAGACACTTTGAAAGTTCCCCCCGAGTTAGATGGTATTTTGAGGTTGAAGTCTGGATTTTGGGTTATAAAATTTAAAAACTCTCAATATTTTCTACTATAAAGAAGCAAAAAAAAAAAAAGATATAAAAGCATCTATCATTTTGAATTTATGATTTATCTATTGGTTTGATATCACAATCACAATACAATACATCACAATACAATATATTGTGATGTATTGCAATACTAGGCATGGAGATATATTGAGTTTTTTTTTTAACAATTTAAGAAACTGCAGGAAACTGAAGAAATAGATGCATTTGTAGGATTTCTGGAGAAACAAATGAAAAAAAAAAAAAGATTGTCTGACGCAAACTCTCAAATATGGGCAGTCCCTGTTCAGTCAGCTAGGGGGCGGAGGTTTAAATGTAACACAAAAATGAACCAAACTCCATGAATATCTGTTATTAAAACAAAAGTGCTGTAAAATATCAATACAGAGTGTTGAATGTATTATAAATATGAGAAGTCGTCACAAAACACTCATTCAACACTGTGTGTGTGTGTGTGTGTGTGTGTGTGTGTGTGTACGTACAGACCAGCAGGATGACCTTTAGCTGTGGTTAAAATGCAGGTATGCTCTAATTGTTTCCACCCATAAGGCCCCGCCTGGAGGAACACAGAGTTTGGACATGTGTTCGTACACACAATAGGCATTCACACACACACAAACAAACACAAACACACACAAATACATGTGCTCACTCAGTCACTCACATTCCGTGGTCATGCTCTGAAAGCCACATAGGATTAATGTGAGCCGCCGCTTCCAAAAACTTCATCATTTCCATATGCTGCTGATGCACTCACTGAGGCTTCCAGAACAGTATGGAGGAGGGGGTGGGGGTTGGGGGGTAGAGGAGAATAGCATAGCCTAGCTTACATTTGTGTCTCAATTTAAACTTTGTTTTGTTGTTTATGTTCGGTGTTTTCCCGCTCTTATTCGCCACAGTCCACCGCAGCCGTGAGACTGGGATCAATACGATCAATAAGTTCACGAACAACAGGAATTCCTGTCATTTCCACACTTCACACTCATGTTTTTTTTAATTTTTTTTTTTTTATTCTTTGTCTCTGACCCTCTCTCTCTCTGGTTCTGTCCGTCAGGTGTGTCCCGGAGCAGCCGACTCCAGAGCGGAGCAGTGTGCAGCGTTCAACAACCAGGAGTTCATGGGTCGACTCTACAACTGGGAACCTTTCACTGAAGGTGAGCTCAAAGATAGAGGCAGAAGTTATAATAAATGGCAGGCATGTGCCATGCTCTCCCTCCCCTGCAGGGGGTGCTGTGATGCAGTTTTCGAGTCCTGCGTAAACCAGTAAAACATTTTTTTAATTGACTCAAACATCAAAACCTTTTTATTCAGAAACACCTTCATCTAATTAATCCATCTTTAATCTGTGAGTTCTTCAAAGATCCCATAAAGGATCTTTTATTTATTTGTATTTACTGCCACCTACTGGGTCCCAACACCAAGACTTTAGAAACCTCATTGTCATTCAGATCTACACAAAGTTCACATCTGGACAGAATTTTGCTGCAAAGACTCAACAGAACAACAGGCCTAGAAGGCAAGAAAAAAACATGAATGGAATCCAAGGGAAATAATATTGTAAATACGTTCAGTCAAGAGAGAGGAAAGAAAATACAGTAACCTGACTCTGGAAATGCTCGTAATAATTACATTAACGTGGATATTGCAGCATCGTGATGGGAAAGAAAAAGAGAAAGTACAGGCAGGGGGCAGTGTCACTGCACACACTGAGGAGTCCAGTGAACTGATAAAGGGATTCATGTCCTATTTTTAGTCTAACTTTCCTCCCACACGCCCACGTTAGTTAACGGTTGAGCAGAACAAAAGGTCGAGAGGAAACAAACCATAAGGTAAAGGTTTTTGTTTTTATCGTGTTAGGGGAGCGTTGCCCCGGCATCGCTACTTGTTTACCGTCCTCCCGACCAACCATTGTTCCCTTGTCTGGTTCGCCCTCTGCCATGAGATCTGAGAAGGAAAAAAGAAAAATGGAACTCTGTGTGGACAAATCCTGACTCCTACTAACTGTCCCCTCTTACTTTTTCTTGGCTTACTCCTTCCTCCCTCTCTCTCTCCCTCCCTCCCTCTGTAAAACCTCTACTCTTCTCCATGACAAAGTGCACAGATTCCTGCAGCGTGAGTTAAATACAGAGAAAGACATAAAGAGGGAGGTGATGGGTGATGGGGGGGGAGGCAAGCGTTACATCATATGACCACTAGGAGCACGGAGGGACGTGCACGTGCTGGTGTCTAGTTACCTTCTGTGTGTGTGTTTGTTGACTATCACTTGTTGGAGTGAAGCAGAGTTCAGTTCTGTGGGGAGTCCGTCTGTCCGTCTCTGTTTTCCACTGCTGGGAAGAATGAAAAGAGACGAGAGACAAGGGCTGAGGAGATATGTGAGGAATTTGGAAAGGAACGGGGGAGAAAGCGAGAGAATGTTGCGAACACGGCGGTTACCACTGCGTCCGTCCTCCTGTGTGCGTTCACTCTGGGACTTCGTTGGCAGCGCTGGGAAGAAGGGCTTAATGGATTTGTGATAATATTTGGAACATGTGCGTGCACTGGTGTTTGTGTATGTGTCTGTGGTTACCGTATCAGGTGGCTTAGGTTACTTTAAACACTCGCCGTGAGAGAGCAGTTCCAGTAACGTGAGAGCAGCCCACGACCGCTTGGCCGCGGACGTCGTCTGACTGATGTCTTCACTGCATTCCAACAACAACAGAAAAAAAGTCAGAATTAAAAACAGAGATCCACGCCCCAGTGTTGTTAAATACACTAAACATGGTTTAATAATCACAATAAGTCCGACAAAACAGAGTTAATAATATGGAACCCACAAAAAAATCATTTCTGCTCAGATCGTTTTTGCTTCTACCGACCACAGCTTTATTGGTCTGGTTCACCGCTCTGACCAGACTCATGTTCAGTCACAGCAAACGGCTGGTTTCCTGATTTTTGTTTGTTTAAAAAAGCCATAATAAAACTGCAGTATATTTCGACCAACCAACATCAGTCATTAGCATTAGCATTAGCATTAACATCGTTGGTTATTACTAAACTTCTGTCTGAAAACTTCTGTAACTATACTTCTGTAAGTATAAGTTGCACCAGCCTGCAGGAGTGCCCTCTAGTGGCTGTCAGTGTGAAAATAACAATAAGTCTAAGTCAAGTATAAGTCGCAACCCCAGCCAAAGGATAAAAAAAAAGTGCAACTTATAGTCCAGAAAATGACGGTAATTAATAGATTTTGATAACAATACGTAAAATAAATTACATAAAAACTTTTTGGCAACAATACACACAAAAAAAAAACACCAATACTTTGCACCATCTTTGCAGATTTACTGTAAAAAACACTAAAACATTTCTGTGATGACAAACAGAAAAGGCTGGAGTTCAAAAGCAATTTTTTTGGCCTTTTCTCTGTAGAGTCATTGTGAAATAAACCGCAGAAAAAAGTGCAGAAAAACGCCCTGCACATGAAACTCTCAACGTCGTCTCCGGCAACAACTAGGTGCAAACTGCAGGAAGTCGAACAAAATGCTCTCCAGTTGCTCAAACTATGGAAATGCAGCTGCCACGCCGTCATTTTCCTTTAAACTAAAGCAGAAACTGGTGCAGCTCAGTACGATGACACTGAGGTGTCTGCCTAATGAAGTGACAGTACGATGACATCATGGCGTGACATCAGTGACACCAGACTGCGGTAGACTCCCAGTCGACAGGCCTCGGAGATGCTCTGGATGCTAACGACACATGCAGTCAATATGTAGTGGGACGGCAACAACAACAACACGCTGCTGACACCGCCACAGAGCTACACACAGTCAACACATGTCGGCCTGGGTGGAGCGGCTCACCAGGGGGAAAACGTGCATTGAGTCATCTGTTAGATATTGGAGGGTTTTGATTGGGTCAGAGGAGAAGACTCTCAGACACCGTCACAACATTGGTATTTATTAATGATTCTGATCCTGATTCTTTACAATCCACTGGGTTTTTCCAGCCCTGCTGCCAATGAACTGGATGAAGTGAGTTAATTCTGGCTCCGGTTTCTTCATCGTGTTACACTGGAAGTTGTTCCACAGATTAACATAATTACACTCCAGTTGTTTTCTCCGTTTTGCTCTCGGTTCCTCTGAAAGTCCAGAGAGCGTCAGGTAAAAAGTGGAAACGAAAATACTAAAAAAAAAAACATCTGTATTTGTTATTTATCCTACGAATATAAGGACGCATTGAAAAAGGTGTAAAACTTAAAGATGAGTGAAAATTAAGTCACCAGATTGAAGGACAATTACAAAAACATCCTGAGTGTTTTTGTTTGTTTTTTTTTCATCTAGAATTCTTTCTTGTAGAATCCTGGAGCATGTCTGTTCCACCAGATCTCAACCTGCTCCTCTACATCATTGAGGAACTGAAATACAGTTCCTTCCAAATCTTCTGTCAGTTTTTGGGGAAAGACCAAAAAGTCAGATGGACCTGGATCCAAACGCTCCAGACAGTTTAGTTCAAATTTGTTTTTCTTCCTTGACTCCTGAACTCCAGGACTGAAAATAAAAGGTGACTCAGCCGACAGACCGAGTCTCAACACGTGGACACACCTTAGACACATCTTAGAACTTTTTGACTCGCCTTCTTGCATAATTTAGGGGTTAGCCCATGGCCCAGTGTGTCAAGGATTGGGTTTGTAATCTCAGAAATATTTTTTTTGACTGTGGTGTATTGAGCAAACACCAAAACTTCCCCGCTCCCCGGGGCATTAGAAAAGTGTAGCTCAGTGTTCCCGTGTCTCCGGTGTTAATCACAGGGAGGGTTCACAGATGGCTCATATATACACACACGCATATACATACATAAATATATATATATATATATATACTGTATATATATATATATATATATGTATATATATGTATACATATATGTATACACATATTTATGTATATATATGTATGTATGTATATGTATGTGTATATATGTATATGTATATATGTGCATATATGTACTGTATATATGTATATGTATTCATATATTTACACAAATGCATTTATATATATTATACAAGCATAAATATATGAATATATTATATATATATATATTTCTGTACATATAAGTATATATTTATATATACAGTATGTAAATATATATATGAATATATATATAATATATATCAATACAATATATACAAATATTTGTATTTAAATATTAATTATTACTTATTTATTATACAAAAAAATCCAAATAACTTTTTTCAACCACCAAATGCCTTTATTTAAAGGTACAGTAAATTAATTCACAGAGCCACGTGGTCAAACACTGACACAGAGACCAGTGTAACCACTGTCAGTGTCACTGACTTTGTTTTTTCCTCTCTCAGTACATGACAGTGTTCGTGCCCACGTCTAATTCATGACTTCCTCTTGGCGCAGTGCCGTCCCAGGAAGCGTCCTTTTACAGCCGCGCTGGACCCCATTCATCCACCCTGATTTTCTAGAATAGATCTGATCCCATGTGGTTCGGTCCATTTTTTGGTTCAGTCTTAGCTTGATGGACATTCAGCAGTGGGTTTTTTTCCAGTTTTTGATGGAAATGGTGACAGGGCTACATTTTAAGGAGTTTATCGGAGGTGACGGAGGTGAAAACTACTGGTTGAAACGTGACCCTGTGGGAACGAATGTTTCCGTCCAGCGGTTGTGACCGTCAGGTTGATCTGCTTTGATTTCCTGTTGGTCGTGGGACAAACACTGATGGTACGATCTGGATGATGCGTGCTGTGTATCTGTACAGTAGTTGACCGGGGTATCAGCCGGAGTCAGACTGTCTGCATAAACACACACACACACAGACGTTCTCATGCCCGACTACCCCCCTCCCCAAACCCCCCTGTGTGTCGTGAGTGGGATGAGTGAGATTCATGCATTTATTCTGAACCAGGCTGCCCTCACATTTTCTACAGAGTTGAGCTTTTTTTAAACCTACCAAGTCCTTGAGATAATGCTGGGAAGAGGAGGAGGATAAGAAAAAAGAAGAAGAAAGAGAGCGAGGGAACGATGGGAAGAAAAACAGACGAGAAAGACAAACTCTAATGGGTAGGAAAGAAATAAATCAGTTCAACAACAGCAGCGCTGTAACGACATCCTTCGGTGATTTCACCGTCGATGACGTCAGCGCTGGTTTCTGCTGGAGATGGTCCTTCTCCGCTCTGCTAAGTAAACTGTATCACACTGTTTACTCCAATCTGCTCCCATTGGCTGCAGCCCAGAAGGTCGTATCAGAGTTTACCATCAATACACTGGAAACTGTAACTGTGAGGTGTGTGTGTGTGTGTATATATACATGTGTTTTTATTAGCACTTTACAACCTTATCTGGTATAAACACTGGACTTGTCAGCACTCATGTTCTTTCGTGGGAACCAAAGCCTGGTTCTAGTAAGACGGAACATCATGGGGTTAGCTTGGATGTGGCTAGGATTAGCTCGGTGTTTAACATCACATTATGATCAAAGTCCAAAAACAAGAGTTCTAACATGATGAATCACTTCATTCAAATATATGTGTGTGTATGCTGACACTGGAAACTGTGTGTGCAGATGTGAGTCAGAAAGTTCTAAGAGTTTTGTTTTTTTTTATCTCCACCATTGAGGTCAAAGTGTTTCTGTTTCCATCAGAGAACTCCTTCTTTTTAGAATTCCAGAGGATTTGTCTTTTCCACCCTGTCCCAACCTCCTTTCTTGCTTCGTCTGAGGACGGAAATCCAGTTCTTTCCTAATTTTCTTCAGCTTTTGGCAAAAATTGGAAGAGAGTGGATGATACAGGGTCAAAACCTGTCGCAAAAATTCGATCATTTTAACAGGTTTCTACTTAAAAGTGGTCTTAAAAATTGTTCACAGTTCAGCGTACACTCTTCTGCTCCCTCTCAGGGCGAGGCTGCAGGGCTGCAGGGCGAGTAATAGATGTTCAGTGCCGTGACCTACGGTTTGTAACTGGAAGCTGAAACTGTAAAGCTGCCACTGGGGGTAAAAAACCGCAGAAGTGATACTCCTGACTGATACCCCCCCCCCCAGGCTCAGTGTAATTGTGTGACCGCTACATGTGCAGGTGTTGTTTTACTGGAACTGCTTCTTTTTTTTTATTTTTATTTTCGGGCCTCGTGTCCTCTTCATGCACTCACCCCTCTTCCTGTCCCGCTGCCTGGCTCTTTCTCTCTGCCTGATGAAGTTTGTACAGACACAGAGATAGTGGGGAAGTATATTTAGATAAAATAAATTCCACTGTCTGAGCACTGAGCTCGGATAGAAAGAGACAAAGACAGAGAGAGCTAGAGAGAGAGAGAGAGGGAAGGTTACAGAGTTACAGCAGCATCACTACACAGTGATTTATCATCGGTCTCCAAACTTAACCCACTTTTGTTCATAAAAACTGGATTTGCTGGAATCTGGGGTTTTAATGAGTTTTAGTGAAAATTAAGACATAATATGAAAATTAAAAATATGTTTTTGTCCTTCAGTTCTACCATCTGCAAGATATTTAAAAATTAAAGTGTTTGAAAAACAGAGTTCTGTACGATTTTCCATTCGATTTCTGCTTCGGTTCATGTGAGAGCTGCAGCAGTCTACGCCCCGTTTATTCTCATTTTTAGGTAAATATTTGTTTGGACACCTATTGAGCGGGACCATTACAACCAGGCATCGTCATGTGTGTTATTTTCTGAGAAAGTCTGCCAAGAAATGAACTCTAAATTATTTTTTATATGTTATGAAATCATCAGTGAGGCTTTAGCCCCACCCCCAATTCTCTCATTGGTTAAAAGTGTAGTTGTGACACACAGTAATCACCAAACTTTTAAATGACATCAATAATATAACTTTACAAATTTGTGATTAAAAAAAAAACAACTAATACTTATTTATGCGTACGTTGTTACGATAAAGGCGCGTTAACCTTTCCAGCCCTCATTTCTAGCGTGTTGTAACTAGCTTGGATAAAAACACTAAGTGTCTCAGGTTCACTCCTGCTGCAAATAACAACGATTTCTGTGAGAAAGTTTACAGAGGCCGACATTCCTGCCGACTATTTGTTCTCGTTCTCACTCAGATTCCTCTCTTCCTTTATCTATTCGTCCCGCTCCATTGGAAAACAACAAAACGACGAGATAGCATCCAAATAGTCGAGTCGAATTCATTCCCGTCGTCTGGACTCAGCTTCTCTATCTACAATACTTCCTTTAATCACATGCTTAAGAGGGAAAGATGTTGACCTCTGGTGGTGGTTTTTGCACCCTGTTGTCACCAAAGGTCAGAGGAGGGGTCAGGTATTTGCCCTCTCCTGATGCCCTGCTATCTCTTAATAACCTCTGGACTCTGGTTTTATGTTTGGTGTTTCATTGACTTTGACGCTAGATGCTTTCTATAATATTGTTTTTTTGGCAAATTTGTAAATTTAGATCATATCAGCTGACCGATATTATCAGCCCAATATTAGCGTAATTATATCTTCGGACCGGGTCTCAACCCCGGAAGACCCACTTGGTCGACATTTGGTCGAAACTTGGTCGACGGGTCTCCGGACCGGGTCAACACGGGTCTCCGGACCGGGTCGACCCGGGAGACCCACTTGGTCGACATTTGGTCGAAACTTGGTCGACGGGT